ATTCTTCAATATGATCTTTGTTGGATCCTGCAACCAACATGTCATCCACATACAACAACAATATAACAAAATCGTTATCACCAGACCTCTTGAAATAAGCACAAGGGTCTGCATTAAGTCTGTTGTATCCAAGGCACATAATGAAGGAATCAAATCTCTTATATCAATACATCGGCGCCTGCTTTAGACCGTACGGAGATTTGTTCAACCTGCAAACCAAGTTCTTCTTTTCTTTTTCTTCAAAACCTTCAAGCTGGAGCATATAAATCTCTTCTTCAAGATTTCCATGAAGAAAAGTTGTTTTAACATCTAGTTGCTCTAGATGTAAGTTCAATGTAGCACACATTTCCAAAATTACTCGAACTGTTGTTAGTCGAACCACAGGAAAAAATATTTCATTGAAATCAATACCTTCTTTTTGAGCATATCCTTTGACCACCAGTCTTGCACGATACCTCTCAACTTGATCATCACCATTTCACTTGCTTTTGAAGACCCATTTGTTACCAATTGGCTTCCTTCCTTGTGGTAGTGGCATAAGGTCCCATGTATTATTTTTATGAAGGGCTTCGATTTCTTCTTGCATCACCATTATCCACAGTGAAGCATCTGAGTTGTTTATTGTCTCCTGGTATGTTGATGGCTCACCGTCCTCTGTTAAAAGGCAGTATGCAATATTACCTTCTATAACATAATTTGAGTGCCAATTGGGACGTCTTCTCACACGATCTGATTAACGAGTTGTTGGAGCTTCAGAACTATCTGGTTCTTGTTCATCATGTGCTGGTTCTACTTCAGAAGAATCTCATTGTTCAAACTCCTTTTCCACATGTATCTGTGTAGTCTTTGACTTTTCAGCTCTACCATATTCTTCTTTTCTTTGTAGCTTATCTTCTACAAAAATAACATCCCTACTAATGATCACTTTGCGGGCAGTGGGATCCCACAAGCGATACCCCTTTACACCATCAGCATACCCCAAGAATTTACATTTCCTGGATTTTGGATCTAGCTTTGAAATTTCTTGGGAGTTGTACATCACGTACACAATACTTCCAAATACATGGAGGTTTGAATAATCAGCTGGTTTACCAGTCCACATCTCTATTGGTGTCTTCAGCTCTATTGCAGTTGATGGAGCTCGATTCACCAAATAACAGGCAGTATTGACTGCTTCTACCCAGAATGATTTTTCTAGGCCTGCATCCCTCAACATTTCTCTTGTTCTTTCTAACAAGGTTCTGTTCATCCGCTCTGCCACTCCATTTTGTTGAGGAGTGTTCGCCACTATGAACTGTCTTTTGATGCCTTCTTTCATGCAAAAGTCATCAAATTCTTCGGTTGTGTATTCTCCTCCATTATCTATTCTGAAACACTTGATCTTATTTCCATAATCAAGTTCCACACACGCTTTGAAGTTTTTGAAAGTTGAAAACACATCTAACTTCTTCTTAATAGGGTACACCCAACATCTCCTGGAGTAATCATCAATAAATGAGACAAAATATTTTGCTCCACCTAGGGATGTAACGGGTGCTTGCCATACGTCAGAATGAACCAATTCTAGAACACTTTTGCCTCTAGAATTTGACGTGTTGAATTTCAACCGGTGCTTCTTACTTGTTATGCAATGCTCACACAAAGGAAGTGTTACCCTTGTTAATCCTGGAAGTAGCTTTTGCTCCACAAGAACTTTCATTCCTTGTTCTGACATGTGTCCAAGTTTCTGATGTCATAGTATTGCAGAATCTGAACTACATGAGGCAACAGAGGCTTCTGCTTCTAGCAAAGTCTCTCCCTCCCTTCAGCATGTACAAGTTTGCAGCTATCTTTTCGCCTTTCAACACCACAAGCGCTCCACGGAACACCTTCATGATTCCTTTCCGTGTTTCAATCTTGCTTGCATTATTATCCAACAATCCGTAGGATAATAAATTTTTCTTTAGGCCTTTCACGTGCCGCACATCTCGAACAACTTTAATTGTTCCATCGCACATCTTTAATTTGATGGTTCCCACGCCAATGATCTCTAAGGCATGACCATTGCAACTATACACAGATCCTCCTGAGACAGGTTCATAATGATGGAACCATTCTCTTCTTGAGGTCATGTGATATGTTGCTCCTGAATCAATGAGCCATATATCTACAAATCTTTTTCTGCCTTCCACGGTGGTTGACGCTTCACAGCATAGAGCATCTCCATCATCTGAAGTGTTTGCGGTATTGCCTTGTGGATTGGAGTTTTTATTTAGACTCCAACAATCCTTCTTCAAGTGACCCTTCTTTCCACAGTTGTAGTACTTTAAATTGTTCTTGCTTCTCGACTTCGATCTATCATGTTTGTGACTGCTGCTTTGGCCACGTTCTGTTGATCTCCCTCCCATCGTTGTCAATGCTTCTACTTGTTAGAGATTTACTTGTTTGTCTTCCTTGTTCTTGCGCCGATTTTCTTCTTGTAGAACACCAGCCGCAACGTCATCGAAGACTAGACTGGTGATATTATTGTTTGTCAAGTTGATGATGAGTTGATCATACGAATCCGGTAGACTTTGAAGTAGAAGTTCAAACACGTTCTTGTTCTCCTATTTTACAGCTTAAGGATGTAAGCTGAGAAAATAAAGTGTTCAATGTACTTAAGTGCTCCGTCACTGAAGTAGATTCTGGAAAACGGAGAGTGTACAATTTTCTCTTAAGGAAAATTTTATTGTGCAACGATATGGCCTCGTACAGTTTGGTGAGATGATCTCATATCTCCTTAGTTGTCTTCTTCTCCTCGATGCTTGACAATACTTCATCTGCTAATGTTAGATGAAAGTTTGCCATAGCATTCCCGTCCATTTCGATCCATTTGTTGTCATTTGTGAAATCCACCGGCCTTTCACTGATAGCTACTAGACAACTGTCTTTCCTCAGGATGACCTTCATCTTCAATTTCCACAATGAGAAATTTCTCCCATTGAATTTTTCAATATCAAATTTCATTTTCATAGCTTCTTTTACAAATAGCTCTCACTATTTCACTATCGTGAATAGTTCTCTGGAACCTTCAAAGAATGGGTAATAACTTCTTACTTTCTTATGTTTGAGGATCCACCTTTTGGTGGCAACCACAAAGACAATAAGCAGATATTACACACTCTAATCTAGCTCTGATACCAATTGTTGCGGAAGACGGCTATCAGATAGAGCAAAATCACAACTGATAATTTGAGAAAATAAAAATGAAGATAAAAGAGACAAAATTTACGTGGAAACCCCCTAAATAATATAGGGTAAAAACCACGGGCAACGGTAGAAGAATTTCACTATGAGAAAATAGGAATTACAACTTCTCTCGATCTACCAAGGAGAAAACAATGATAATTCTCTCTTGATAAAAAGGAGAAAACAACTCTCAATAAACTCTCTAAATTCTCTCTAGTATTGGAAGAAAGCTAGAATGATTTGGGATGGTTTTGAAGCTAAATGAGGTAGGATATTTATAGTTGAAGCTTAAGGACTAATATTATAAATACCCATAAGTTCAATGACTAAATTGTGATTATTCTATTTAACTTTTTCAATAATTTGGTGGCCAATATTTGACCAATTTAGCCGCCCATTAATGATGTCAAATTGCCACCCCATTATATTGACTAATGCTGCCAACTTTTAACAAATATAAGTATAAATATTTAAAATTTTTGATATATTTTTAAGCCAAAGTATCGAACCTTGAAGCTCAAGTATTGATTTTTAAACTTCCGTTCTAATTTAATATATATATATATATTAGCGAACCTAAGAGCTTAAGTATCGACAGTTACAATTTCAATCTAATTTCCAGCAAAATTTGTTAAAGCTAAAATATTGAACCTCAAAGCATAAATATCGATGTTTCAAATTTTGAACGTATCTTCAGCAAAACTTTTTAATGTAAAAGTATTGAACCTTCAAGCATAAGTATCGATATTTCCTATTCCGTACTTATTTCATCAATATTTTTTTAAACCAAAGTATCGAATCTCATACAATAGGTATCGATGATTCATGTTTCGATCTAATTTTTAGTAATTTGTATTTCCCCTTTCAACTTGTTTTGTTACCGTGGATATTTTTTGACCCATTTGCTAAATTTCAATAACAATTCCAGTCAAAATCGGTTTATTTAAGAACCTTTTAACATTTCCGATCTCAACCTATTTTCATAGTGACGGGTAACATTCTTGGGTACAACCAGATTTGTCATAGTCATTAATAACATTTTCGTCTTTTAACTTGTTTTGTTATCGTGGATATTTTCTTTGACCCATTCGCTAAACTCTGATAACAATTTCGATCAAAATCGGATTTATTCAAGAACCTTTTAACATTTTTTATCTCAACATAATTTCTTAGAGACATGTAACATTCTTAGACACAATTGGATTTGTTATAGCCATTCATTTTTGTCTATCAACTTGTTTTGACGTCATAGATATTTTCTGACCCATTTCCGAAACTCCGTTAATTCCGGTCAAAATGAAATTTATTAAAGAAAATTTTAACATTCTCAATTACAGCCTACTTTTTTAGTGACCGTAACATTTTTTGGCGAATTGGATTTCTTTACGCGACAAATAACGTTTTCAGCTTTAAACTTTGTTACCATGATTAAACCTTTAGTCCATTTGCTAAACTCCGATAATATTTTTAGCTAAACATAATGTTACTCGGAAAATATTTTTGAGTACAATCAAATTTATTATGACGATTTTTTCAACCATGAACCTGACTTTACCATAACATTCTCTGTCTCATTTTACATACAACGGTAATTAACCATTATTGTTATCAAAATGGTCAATTGTGTGTTCGACTTTTAACCTGTAACCATCATAACCGGTCTCGTCATTTATTAGCCTTAATATAACCGGTCTCGTCATTTATTAGCCTCCCTTAGTTTCTAGTATAAGAGTCATTTTATTTGTTGGAGAATACGAATAAAATTTCAAACTTGGCCTAGCAGCCGAAGAAGATCCACAATCGTACATATGGTAGTATTTAACACACTAAAAAGAACAATAAATGAAGGCAAAAGAAAACTAGAAAGCAGAAAAGCAGGGATTATTTGAAGTAAATCTAAAACCCAGGCTGCTCATGAATTTAACATGCACTGGAAATTTATAACCACATAACAGGGGAAAACAATCATCATGCCATGAGGAATGTCTCAATGGATTCAAAAAACAGTGGTGCCATCTCAGGATTTGGGGTCTTCACTGCGCACTTCACACCCGGGCTTCCGATTATCATTGTAAGTTCAATCAAGAAAGGTATACCTCGAGGGATCTTGGCTGAGAAGTAGAATACGTCCTGGTTGGCATGCTTACGTTTTGCTATGAAGAACATGTTTGAAGCAGCTAGCCGGTCAAGGGTAGCTTCAGCACTGGTCACCACATGCCTGGGAATTCTTTTAGGACCTCATTCGAATCTGGTAGTGATCTCCATGTCTGCATAATGGGAAGAAGATCATTCAATTCCAATTGCTGGGATCATCCTTCGCGGTGGAGGGCTTTTCACAAATTTGTACCATAGAAAACCAAATCAAAATGGAACAAACTTCTTACCTCAAGAAAACTAGTTCGCTCTATCCTCCCATCCTCAGTAAAGAACACGTGCAACGGGATTTTATCATTGAAGTACCAAACTGGTTGCTGACTATTTTTAACAGCAACCTGCAGAAGGGAGTTTGGAGGACCAGGAGACATATTCTGGAACAATACCATTGGCAGCAATGTTCTTGCTGATTCTCCCGGTGCCAACCCGGAAACCTAACAGACAGTATCAATTAAATCCCAAAACTGCACAATAAAATAACTAAAGTGTAAAGACAACACAAATCGTGATTTTACCTGAAGAGGTCCCGCAGCTGCCAGACCAAATGAATTCTTGTTAAACTGAATCATGAATCCATCAATAGTGATCTGTGTGTTATTCTCAAACAGCAAACTGTAAAATATTTGACCATCCTGTCGAACTAACTGTGCACTGATTTGCAAACCCTGTCCAGTTGATGCTGGCAACAAAACAGGCAAAGGGGGGCTGCAATCGTGAAGGTAAAAAAGTACGGTAAGTGCAACAATATAGGCATGCATGTTATCTATAAGATACACACATAACTCTAATAACATAAGAAACTATAAAAAAACCTATACACTGTTTCAGTGTAAGAAACATAATTATTTTTAAAAAAATTATAACATTAACGCAAAATGAGATTTCTATCTGGATAACTAATGCATTCCAGCATGCTTACCCAGCAGATGTGGCATGCTGATCAGCGGGGACAATTTGATTGTTATCAATACCAATCAGATCACCTAACAGATCAGGCACCAGGAGCAGGTGCAGGAGCTGGCTGCCAAGCTGCAGCATTTGGGACGCTACTTGAACTGGTTGGTGGTGATGCACCACCATTAACAGCATTAGAAAGTGTTTCAGAATACCTAGTAGTATCATTTCCATCAGGGTACTCATCATCTTCAGTTTTTGGAGTTGCAGTCTTTGTGCGAGTTACAAAAGCCTCAGGAGGTTTGTGATAGACAGAAGATAGTGTAGCAATGTTGGCAAGAAGCTCATCAAGAAGGGATGAATCTAGTTGGTTTGAATCATCACTGATCACAGGTTTCTCAGCTAACACAACATCCTTAGCAGCCTAATAACAAATAGAAAGTCAGAAACATCGTCCATGCTTAGATGTCGTGTACCTTTAAATAATGATGCATTCATGTCAGCAAAGATATCCACATTCAAATATATATTGCAACCCCCCACTATTGAAACTAGCTAGATTCTGAGAGAAGACCACAAGGACAGGAAAAAACCTTATATAAAAGACATGCTAATAATAACAACACAGTGAAAGGCATTCTAGACCTCAGCTTAATCATATAGTATGCCCATTTTAAGAGCAGTCCTTAATCATATAGTACCTTTAAATAATGACGCATTCATGTCAGCAAAGATATCTACATTCAAATATCTATTGCAACCCCCCACTACTTAGACTAGCTAGATTCTGAGAGAAGACCACACGGGGACAGGAAAAAAACCTTATATAAAAGACACATGCTAATAATGCCAACACAGTAAAAGGCACTCTAGACCCCATCTTAATCATATAGTATGCCCATTTTTAAGAGCATTCCTTAGAATGGAGGTGAAGGTGATTCAAGCAAAGTACATATCTAGCCTTTCCCCTCCAAGGTAAGAGAGGAAATAATGATTAAATAGGATTCCTCAGATTTTTTTAAACTAAAATCATTGAATAGTGAACTGCAATTGGTTAGAATAAAAATATACCTCGGGATCAGTTGATAGAAGGCGCCAATAAATGTACGCACGGTCCCGTAAATCAGGATTGTCAGTTTCCACCGTAGCATTATTCAATACAACCTATAAAAGGTCCATAATAGAAGTTAGATCGAATATGATATCTCCAATATATTTACTTTATTTTCCTTGAATAATCAATCTTTCTGCACTAAAAAGACGTAGATGCATGGTCAAAAACACATACAATAATTTTCCAAACATACATTGTACCAACAATAAGCAGTTAGCGTAACTTGTATAACCAGATAATTATGGCAAAGCAAGATCATATATCCAGTAGTTATTGCTCTTGGAAAAGTACGATAAATACTATTTCCCAAGTCCCCTATGAAAATGATACAATCTGAATTCTTCTAGACATGTTTTCTCATAGGAAGTTGCATATAGAGAAATCAGACAAAATGATTTTGGAAAAATGTATAATGCATGATCAAAGATAATAAAACCGTTAGTGAAAACATGCATGAAGAACGCATATAAAAGACCTGAATCATCTGCTGTGGGCCTTCTGTTGGCTTCTTAAGAAAGAGTTTGACTGTCGCAGTTAGCAGCTGCAGTTGAACTTGGGGAGGTTCTTCAGGGAAACTCTCCAAGAAGCTTTCAAGGAGCTCATCAGCATTGTCAATTCTTTCGGCATATTCTCCAATTATCCATATCATTGATGCCTTAGCAGATAGAACACAAGAAGAGGGGGAAAATATGAGCTAAGGATAAAAATAACAATAGTAACAGAAAACAATGCTCTGAATTTTTATTTTGCAACTTCTGACACACAAGTACCTTAGCTTCTGGCTCATCTAAGGTGTCCAAGCTCTCACAAAGGGTTGCAATGATAGATTCATACCTGTGAAGGTTATTAGGAAACCATCAAAGGGGATTCAAGGTGCAAACACGAGGTTTCAGTTACTGTTAAGAAATATAATGACAAGATTTTATATTTTTATAATATTCCAACACAAAGGTGCAAACAAATGACACTTACGTGTTAGGATATCTTCTAAATATATCTTTGATAACTATAATAGCCTCTTGAACAACATAGTTCACTTTAATCTTGATCAACTCAAGCAGAACACTAATGCACCGTTCAGCTGCTCTGTCTAACTTGATAGCACATCGACCGATGGCACGAACAGCCTTTCTAACAAAATCTACATCTACTTCTGTTGCATATTCTTTGAACTCCAATAAAACCTACATAGATATTTGTCCAAGAGACCATCTCAACATTTTATGTCATGAGAAAATAAACTACCAATGTAAATAAATAAAAAGAACAAGTCCACAGACCAAAATTTGGATACCTGGTCTATATTTCGGTCGGAAGCAAGCTTTATCATGATTTCTAACTTCTCCATCTTCACATAAATGGGATCATTGTACTTGCAGAAGAATACCTAGCAAGAGCGAACATCTGATAAGCACACATTCAATGCTACCATATTGATACAGAAGCATACAAATCAAGCTCACACGAAAGTGTTAATGATGAGCATGGGCAAGCATGCACATGTTTTATTCAACATAAACCGACCTTGATTTCATGGGCAAGAATTGTAGGCCGCCTTTGTACTATGAGGTTGATATTCCGCAATGCAACATATTGTATCTCGGGTTCTGCAGAGAGTAATGTCACAAGAGGAGGAGCCATCTTTTTGCAAAGATTTCGAACAACATCAGTGCTAGTGATAAGTTCCATTTGTTGAAGAATCATCTGGAAAGTACAAAATTAGAGAATGCTCACAAGTCTATTGAGAAAAAGAAAATACTTGTGCAAAATACTGAACAGAAAACAAAAGTCACCTTAACAGCTGAAAGTACAACAGCACAATTAGCATGTTGAAGTCGTGGTGTAACTCTTTCCACAATATTTTCTGCTTCACGAGCATCAGCTGCCTTATATCGGGAGAGAGCATCAAGTATAAAAACTTGACCCCACCTGAAGTGGACATGATAAAAATGAGATGTGTAAAGCACAAGGTTCTCAGACAAAGTTCTACAAAGAGATGCTAGATTAATGACTTGTTCAAGCTATCATGTCTGAAAATGGAAAATACAAATTACCAAAATCCTATTGATTTGCTTTTTATATGAGTTTGAAAGACAGCTCAACCACATAGCAATAACCTGATTCTCAGTAATCATTTTGCATTATAAAAGTAGTGGGATGAAGCAAGGCAATTTCAAACATCTGAACTTACTCTGTGCATTCATTAAGAGCAGTAAGGAGCTTTGTAAGCATGGGGGTTGTGATTTCAAATATTGGTCCACTACTATTCTCTTGTATCTCAGCAAGAGCTGCCACAGCATTAGCTACAACCATTGGGTTGTTGTCAGATATCAAATCCTTGAGAGATTCCAGAAAACCCCTATCCTCAACCAACTCAGCATTTATATCATAAAGTTTAGCAACACATATGGCAGCAGTCTTGCGGACATAGGGGTCATCGTCCTGTTAAAATATTATATACAGTAAGAGAAACATATAATAACTTGTATGATTTGCATAAAGCTAGTCTATGATGTTGGAAAGTAGAAACCAAAAAACAAATTGCATTGCTAAAAAGGAACTGTATACTGTGACAAGAATCAACCTTGAGGCACCTCTGAAGGGGATCACAAAGATATTCCGTGATCTTATCAACACGGATGCATCCCATAGTCCGAACAGCCAAAGCACGAATGAGAGGATTTGGATCCTGTGAATCCTACATGCATGCTCATAAAGCCAAAGCTCAGTCAAGATTCATGAAGCATCATTATGAAAACCTTAATAGAAATATAACTCCAAACTGAACAATATCATAAAATCCTTGCACTCTATAATGCTTTGTTTCCTTTGAGGCAGATAGAAAGACAATAGATAGGTTAGAATCGGCACTTATTTAACTTCTTTTACTTTATAAAGAGACTATCAACCAGAAACATGCACGGAAAATTTTGTAAATGCAAAATGTGCTCATACCAAAAGAGACATCTTTGAACCTGTAAGCAAACCCAAACTAAAAGAAATACATTTAGCATAAATGATTTGCAATCACTTCAAAACTCCGGGGAACCCGTAACTACATTCCTGAAATATTTATGCTGAGATATGCAGCCCGAGCAGGAAAATAGGCCAGTATATTTGTAAACATAGAATTTCAAATTTTACATGTTCATATCAAGCAACATCAACAATGCTAAATGAAACAAAAATAGAAGAAGATGATGAAAAACACTTTCTTTCAATCTATGTTAATAGTAAAGATAAAGGGCATAATTAACTGCACACCTTTACAAATGTATTTACTGCAAGAATAGCAAGGTCGGGCTGGCTTTTAGCATAATTTATAAGATACAAATAAACAAGCTTTTTCAGCTCCAAATTCTCTGTTTGCATGCAGTTCACCACGTCTGTGAACAGCGATGACACATCCTTACCAACCGTCATTGCAGCAATAACCTTCTTTACAGCATCTTTTCTTTTATCCTTCACAACACAGAAAACAAAGGCAACATTACAATCCCATAACCATAAGGAACAAAAGATAGAGATGCAAAAATAGCATTCAAAATCCAACGGGCCCATTTCTAGTCTTTTCACATGCTGCTAAGAGCAACAAGGTTAAACAAATTCTTCAGAAAACTCATTTAATCAGAAAAATCAATAGAATTTTAAAAAAAAAAACTTTCTACAGTTAAAACTCAGTTTTGAGTTAGATAATAAATAAACTGCTCTCATAGAAACTTGATAGAAGGGGAACCATAATCCGATGTTCGAATCAACTAGCATTAACCCTAATCAAGAAAACTGAATCTCTCTTTCCATTTCTAGCTTACTTTCTATAATCCCTAATTGATCCAAACAGAAAACCTAAAACACAGCTAAAAATCGTAATTCAGCAGGTTGACAGCTTCAAAGAACAAAACAAAACGGGAAAACAACAGATCTAACGAAAAAAACGAACTAAAGACCTCCAAATACATCAGATCGACGACCAAAAAAATTAGATCAAGCAGATCAACAAAGAAATCTGCAGGAAAGACGTTAGGTACCTTATACTGGGAATTGAGCTCTTCCTTGAGTTCAGGGATTTCTCCCTTCTTCGTCGTCGAGAAGTACTTAGAATCGTGACCGCTCATATCTCACTCTCCGAGACCTCTTGATGATGTTGCCGATTGGAGTCGACGAAGAAGAGAAGTATAAAGAGAGTGGTGAACAATTGTGTGAAATGGAATCAGATAAACGAGACGAGATCGAGGACTAAATAAAATTGCTCATTTTAATGGCCCTTGGGCCTATTAATGGAACCATTAAGTCCAAATCTCGCATTTGGGATTTTACGGAGCAATAGTAGACTTGAATATTCAAACGTTTTAACGTTAACGTTTACGTAATTATGATAAAATTAAAAATATCATTAAATTATTTTTAAATATTTTTATATTAAACTTTTAAAGTTATAAAATAAATATTAAACTTTTTATTTTGTTATAAATGAATATCACGTTGTTAACCTCGTTCATTGAGATTTCATAATAAACTAAAATTAATAAATAATATCTTATTTGGCCTCTTAATTATAATTAAAAAAATTAATATTTTTATAATAAGCCTAAGTAATGATATAAGAAAATAAAAAGGTAAAAATATATTAAAAATTATAATTTACTTTTAAAATTATAGTTTTATGAAAAAAAATTAGATCGGAATTTTTTATATAAAAATGCAAAATACATAAAATAATTTAAAAGTATTTTGTAAAAAAATTTTACTTAAATTTTAGAAGATTTACTTGATTATCTTTCAACTAATTACAATGGGAATGAACAATGTAAATTATTGAGAGGAACAAATTTATCTCGTTAATCGTTGGTGGTTTACTCGTGATTTGGGTGGAGAGTCGCAACCAGTCTGGTAATGGTTGTTGGCTATTTTTCTATGAAAGATAGTTGGTCATAAGGAAGAGGAGGTAGGTTGTCAGTGGATTACTAGAGGTTCGGTATTTTTTATTAGTCATAGTTGAGGGGTATTTATAATGACTCTTACCTAGTGGTGTTAGTCATAATGTAATTATGGTTATTTGTAGGTTAATGAGCTAAGTAGTTATGGTATTCAGGTCTTGAATTTTGTTCTGGTATGTCACATGGACCTAGCATATATTTTATCTATACATTTTGGTTGACTCAGAGGCCTATGCCCAGAATACGGGCTCTTTGGGGATCTGGTAAATAAAGGGTTTGTATGAATGTCTTGGCTAACGGAGAGCTAGCAGTTTCCATAGGTTATTCTTCATAGGTATAACAATTTTCTCGTTTCTTGATTTTGTTGAATAGTAGAGACATCTCAACTCTCTCACTCCTGGGATAGAGGTTGCTTATTTCCCTTTTTAAAAGACATAATCATCTTTTCATTGGTGAAGTATCTCAATTTCATACACTAACAGTGGGTGTTTCCTTATTATCAATGCAAAGGTATCTTGACTATCTTGATCGAAAAGGAGGTGATCAAACATATTCTAGTGGAATCCAAACAATGAGAGTGTATGCCTTTACACTAATAAAGGGGTATGAACATATCTATGCTCCCAATATATACCACGGAGGATTCTCAATGCTTACAATAGGATAGTAAAGAGATTGATATTAACTCGACACTTGATAAAGGTGTGGAGGTATTATTGATATTCCGAAACATCTCATATAGAGATGTTTTGTTGTTTTTCTATGACGTCTTTGATGCTTTGATGAGGTATCATCTCGAGGTTTTTCAATGTTATGCTTGTAATGTTTTACCGTTTGATGTTTTGTGGAGTGAAATTTTATTAGCTTGATAGCGAGACTACCCATGCTTGAATGAGTTATTCTTCTTCGGAGTACTTTGGGGTGGGATTCTCAACACTTAAGGCGAATATGTAATTAGAGGGATTTGAATTCTCCAGTTTAATTATAAGCATATATCTTTCTTCATTATGTTACTTACCGCGGGGACCTCGACACTATGAGTAAGTGGAGGTGTTTCCTTCATATCCCGGCGTGGGGATCCTTTGTGTCAAGGTTCTCGACGTTAAGTACAGAGGTACTGATTAATTTTTGTTAGATTGGTTAACATTTAAGAAAATTTTCAAATTTTGGTTAATGATTAATTCTATTTGAAATCGTTTAATTAGTTGAATTAATTAAAACTATTAAATATTATGTATATTTTATGCTCAAACTCATTAAGAATTAAGGTTCAACTATTTTTTAACCGCATTAGACCCAATAAACTTTCAAGATTCAATCAAATTTTAACCCAAATAAAAAAAACCTCTATTAAATTCAAATCAATATAACTAAAAAAATTTCAATAAATTTTGATTAATTCGGTCATCTATCGAATTAATCAAACTTTGTTTGGCTCGATTAATAATTTAAAAAAATTGGTTCAATTAACAAGTAAAGAAAAAAAAGTTTGGTTATATCGATTTTGGCTAATTCAATTCGACCGGTGACCGAATTTACTGTTTGAACACCCGTATTCATCAGTAAGAGTAATTTCATGACACATAAGAAATCATTTGATATAATGAATCTTATTAGTATTAGGGATGTAACCAAAAGATACATTACAATAAAAAGCTTGAACAAATTGATGACGAAAGCTTGAACAAATTGATGATGAATGGAGGAATCAATAGCCAAAAAGGATAGTCAATCCCGCTCCACAAAGGTTTGATGAAAACTTAATTTATAACTACTCGAGCAAAGAAAAATTATATCCAACTTTTGTTTGGGATGAATTCATCGGTTAGAATTATACTTACAGTAATGAGCATAGTCATTTGGTGTACGAAAACAAAGGTGCTCAAACGTTTGAGGGTTATAAGATTGATCGGTTCTAGGTTGTTTGATGTTTAATTTTGGGGCCATTTGAAGTCAAAAAAAACAAGTGTTGAATAAAAGTATTTTCATTGAGAAATTTAATCGACCACTTACTAGATAAGGCTTAAAAACAAAGATTTGAGCATAGGGATAAATGGGTAACCCTTATGTAATAAACACATATATATTCAAAAATAATTCAACCTCCAATTGCAGCAAATTCAATAAAATGTATACAATTTTAAAAAAAATCAAAATCCCAATTTCAGATAAATTTGAAAAATTTTGTTTTTCTAAGTGAGAAATATACCTCATACAAGTGTTGTATAGGATTAAAAAGCCTTTAAACAAATTTAGAAAGCATGAAAGATGAATTTAAGCAATTAATTTTACAAAAAATTAGAATACAAGGGTTTAAGGTTTGTACAAAATATCTTGTGAAAATGAAGAGAATTTGCAATGGAATGACAAGAAAATGAAGAATCAATGTTCTTTTGTGAAGAAAATCATGTGAAATGAAGTTTCATTTTAGAGAAAGTTTTAGGTAGATTCGATTTGGAGAAGAGACAAATAAAAAACATGATAAAAATTTGGTTTGAAGTTAATTTATTTCGTATAACCCGCCATGGGTTTCGAAACCTTTTTAAGAAGGTTTCGACACCCCAAATACATTGGTCAAAAGGTTGTGATACCTCTTATAGTGGTTTCAAAACCTTTATAGTAAAAAGTGCATTTTTACTAGTTGTAAGCTAGATTTTCAACGGATTATTGAACTATCAAGTATGATAATGATATTTTTTTAATAAAAGTATGATAATGATATTAACTCTAAAAACATATCAAAATAACATTAACGATGAATGAAAACAAATTTGAACATACTTCAGCATGCAAAAAATTAAAGTTTGCATTCAGAACATTTTGGCAACTAGGTCTAAAAGAAATTGTCAAAATAGACAAGAATGAACATACACATCCCCTAATTATTTGCCTTAGAAAACTATATAAAATTACTCGAGCATGTTGATTAATCAATTTTTTTAAAAAATAACTCAAAGACATAAAGTGCTTAAAATTTTGAACTAAATTTTATGGAAGGTTAGAAATTCCTAATTCAATCCTAAGTGTTCAAAATCTATTTTTATCTAAAAGTTTAGTGAAAATGTCAGCTACTTGGTACAAAATATCTATATATTCTAGAATCACATCTTACTTAAAGATATGATCTCTAATGAAATGATGCTTAATTTCAATGTATTATTCTTAGAATGTTGGATGAGGTTCTTAGTGAGACTTATAGTACTATTATTGTCACACTTGATAAGAATGGTACCAACATTAATTTCATAATCCATAAGTTGTTGTTTTATTCATAAAACTTGTGCACAACTACCTATTAAACTATATTATATCTCAGTGGTTGATAATGCAAAGCTATTTTATTTCTTTGAAAATCATGAAATTAACATGTTACAAAGAAATTAACATGTATCAGATGTGTTTTTTCTATCTAATTTGTAACCTCCAAAAACTACATCCGAAAAAACATGCATGCTAAAATTTGAATTTTTAGGATACTAAAGGCCTAAACTAAGAGAGTCTCTAAGGTGTCAAAAGATCATATTAATGGAATGTAAATGAGATTCCCTATGCCAAGATTGATATCTAGCACACGAGCAAATATTGAACATTATATATGATCTACTTATAGTAAGATAAAGTAAAAAAATCAATCATTGACTTATATAATTTACATCTATATATTTACATTGCTCATCTTTGTCAAGCTTCGTAGAAGTGCTTGTTGGAGTGTCTTCATATTTGACATTCGTAAAATTCTATAATAATTTATAATAAAAAAGTTAATAATTTAATTATATTCTAATTGAAAAAATCTAATTGTAAACAAAATAAAATTCAATAATAATAATACTTTTTAATAAAAGTAATAATTTAATTTATTATAGTTAAAATTAAAATTAAATTCTTAACATATATTAATCATGGAGTGGTCCTTGATTTTTTTACCTAATATTTACTTAATAAGCATAATATATTTGATGGTGTGTTTCAGTGTAGGACACTCATTGTAGAATTTTTACGGGTGCGCACCATCTTGAATAGAGGAGAAGGCAAAGACGACCAGAGTGGATGCGGTGGCGCAATGAATTGATGGGTTGTGGTGTGGGTGTGGGTTTGGGGCCGATCGATGAGAATGAAAGAAGAAGATGGTGAATGTCGTGCGGTTGAATAAAAGAAAGAATGAAGAAGGAAAAAGTTTTGTTTATTTGTTTTTTAAAATAAGGGCTAGGTCATGTGGGTTATAAATTAAAAGGGGGTTTAACTTGGAGTCAAACTATAATTTAAAAGATAGGGATAAAAGGTAT